ATCCGATAACACTCAGCTTTTTGATATGGGTTCCCTCTGCAGCCAAGGCACCCAGAGTGTCTTCTATCTCATGCGCCAATCGCTCCCCTCCGAGCTCGATTCCATCGTAGGTAAAATTCCCAGAATTTCCCTTCGCGGCGAGTATGTAGAGGCGGTCTTCTCCGTAACGCTCTCTGAGAGCCGCGGCCAGGTAGTCCAAATGGGATGGATTGCCCCAGAGCCTGGAATATGCATCGCCACAGTCAGCTATCCATGTATCTTAACGGACGAAGAAACGCCACCGTGGCGGCAGGTGTAAGAGCAAGACTTACCCATGGACTAGGACACAAAGATGATCACCCTTCTGCGACATTTCATGAGATTGTTAGTTACCATCAATACCCTTCTGTGAGCAGTATAGCAGAAAAATGGCTTAATTTCCTGGTCATGGTCAGTTAGTTTATATACCAGGTCTGTGGGACTCATCATCCAGAAGTTCTGCCTGATCTCATCGTCACCGGAGATAAGGGGATATTAGCGCCACTGGTGGCTGATAAATAAGGCATGTTTGTTCGGTTTGCAACTTGCTCATCGCTTTGATATGAGTTCCAATGACCAGAAACACCCTGCTCAAACGGTTCGTCCTAACTCAACGCTGCGAATAATCCTCGGATTATATCAAGCCAGGGCTCCTATCAGCTGATAGATTCCTGTTTCTTGGATATCTACCATATCCCACTCCAGCCAGCTGTGGTGGCTGTTCTTCACGTTATTTGGGACACGGGATACGCCGCCATATCGCCATTAACGAGCTTGATATTCTTTTAAAAGCGAGGATATGAATATGCGAAAGCTGATACTCTCAGCTTCATGTGCATAGTAAGGATCAATACGCTAACAGCGAAGAGTGCTCCTCAAAATCTACCTCGGACATAACCATCCGACTCAATCCTTAGTAGGGTCAGCAAGGAAGATGCGTCCTCAGGATCACTTTTAATTCGATGTGGATTTTGACTCACTTGCTCCTTCTAACTGAGCTCAGTCTACTTTGATTACAGTCTCACTTCTCGAGATTTGCATCTGACCTTGAACGCCACCTGTATCGGGGTGACATCTATACTCAGGCTGATACTGTATCACCATGTTTACACCTCTTGGGCTGTTCAAGGACGTTCCTTGTCCAGAAGGTCAACAATGCTATCTCCTAACCTGCATATTTTCTCACAATCCCGTGAGCTCTTCCCTAGTTGATCAGAGCAATGCTCAAGATGGGCCTGTAGCACCAGAAGAGGCGTATGAGTCCGGCCCGCCTCCAAAAAAACCTAGACTGGAGACTCCACCGAAGACTACCGCGACAAAAGCTCAATCCTTGTTAGGGCCTAAAAGGGAATCCATGAAACCCGCCCCTGCTCCAAAGAGTGTGACGGGAAGCAAACCAGAGCATACAACTGGACGCGCTGGTCAGCTTCAGTCGATGACCCGCGAAGTCTCCCCTCCAACGTTGCGAAAAGAGTCTTCGGTTAAGAAACATGCTCCTCCCGCATCTGTGGGAGGCGAAGCGCGTTTACCACCAAGAAGAGCTCCCCGGGAAAGTTTGAACCCGCGCATGCTCCCGAAGGCACCTGCGACTCATGGTGTGCGACTATCTATATTGACAAAGCTCCACGCCGCTATGTGTGCCCTCAATGAGAAATTGGCAAAGGAAGAAGGGGATTCGGATAGTCCATTAGTCTTATCTCCCAATGAACTTGTGACAATGGCGCTGGATGAAGAGGAGAAGGCGGCAAAAGATAACCCGAGCATTTATGCGAACGTCATCAAACTTCGGATAGTTAAGCTCCCAAAACTGAGCTTAGAAGAATGGAAGAAGGAAGTGAAAGCTCATCTGAATGAGCGATATTATAAGATTGAGCCAACACAGCAGAACGCTCAGCAAAAGGCACTTGAAACTGGACTCAGTGCAAAGGAAGAAATTGCCGTTGCTAGCAAGTTGATCACTCCTCTGGAAGGACTCGAACAGTATGGTTACGTGACCAGGAAGCCTACAAAGGAAGAAGTTGAGAGTGCACGGAGGGGAGTCAGCGAGTCAAAAGGCTGGGAGAAGTGCGATAGATGTGGTGGACGATTTCAAGTCTTTCCCGGCCGTCGCGAAGACGGCTCATTGACCACTGGAGGCCAATGCACATACCATCCTGGCAAGCCATACTACCCACCGAGAAGACAAACTGACCACATCATCGGTGCTAGAGAGGCATACTTTCCCTGCTGCAACGAGTCCATAGGGACTTCGTCTGGCTGTACCAAGGGAAGCACGCATGTGTTCAAAGTATCTGAATCTAAACGCCTCGCTTCTATCCTCCAGTTTGAAGAGACACCGAACCAGACCGATAAAGGGCCCCAGCATCCGGTCTGTTTCGACTGCGAGATGGGATATACAACTCTGGGACTTGAGCTCATTCGTCTAACGGCCGTCAGCTGGCCTCAAGGAAAGCTGCTTTTGGACGTTCTCGTTCGACCATTTGGCGAAATTCTGGACCTCAACTCACGCTTCTCAGGCGTGTTTCCCGAGCATTACAAAAAGGCAGTTCCCTATAAGGGCACAAGCAGCCCTTCCGCTGCTGAAGATGACGCCTTGCAGGTTGTGGAATCACCAGCCGCAGCACGTGCGCTGCTATTCAAATTTTTGCAGCCCGATACGCCTTTGATTGGACATGCAATTGACAACGACCTCAACGCTTGCCGTATTATACATCCAACAATCATCGATACCGTGCTCCTCTACCCACATCCACGAGGGCTGCCGATTCGCATGGGCCTCAAAGCTCTCGTCAAGAAGTATCTGGATCGAGACATTCAAACAAGAGGCAGTCAAGGTCATGATTCCAAAGAAGACGCGATAGCTACGGGTGATTTAGTCAGGGTCAAGGCTGCTGAAACGTGGAAGATCTTGAAGTCCAAGGGATGGCGGATAGAAGACAGCAAGCTCATACCTCCGCCTGGCGCAAAGGACGCGACAGAGGATTCGAAGCTTGGGCCTGGAGCCGGCCGCAAAAGAAAGGATACGGAGTGATGGCTTGAATCAAATATACCCAAGAGAATTCTGAAATTAAGGCAAATACCGAGCATCTACGCAGACTTCAAGCATAAAAGAGCATTTCGGGCAATAGTTCGAGTCAATTCATATCTACCAGTCATAACGTCATGAGTAGAATAAGGAAAACTCCCACAACTGACAAGCCCAACATAAACAGGTGGAACACAACCTTTTCAGGTATTGTGAGCCAACCCAATCCTGGAGCCCAAAAACACCAGTAGCCGGATCGTAATCCTCCATCGACCACGCCTATCACTCGAGCAAACCCATAGCATATTCCCGTCTGAGAGAAGTTGCTCCCCTCATGCGAGTGTCTATGAATCCAAAAGATTTAACTTTTTTGATTCGTTATTGAGGAATAATTTACTCCTCCTCCTCCTCGCCCTCATCGTTGACGACGTTGTAGAAGCGGAGCTCGTAGACACCCTTGGAGGTGGAGACAACGCGCAGCCAGTCACGGAGCTGCTGCTTCTTGAGGTACTTCTTGGTCCTGCGCAACGTTAGACTTTTGGTTTCTCAGGCTCAAAGCCGTGCACAGTGGACTTACAGGTACTTGAGGTAGCGACCAGAGAAGGGGATGTGAGTGACAACCTCGATCTTGCCCTCACCAACCTGGGAGATGACGACATTGTCACCGAGGTTGCCAACACGGCCCTCGACCTTGATGCGGTCGTGGAGGAACTTCTCGAAGGCAGAGACATCGAAGATCTTGTCGCTCGCGGGCTGCGAAGCGTTGATGATGTACTAGAGGAATCAATGTTAGCAACCCATACGTACGTTGAATCTTGAATCTGGAATGCGATCATTGCTTACCTTCTTGGTGACCTTCTGGGCCTTGCGACCACGAGCCTATTACCGAGAAAACAAAGCCATTAGCCTACTGTTCCATAAGTCGAATCCCGAGGAGGTCCATAATGGAATCTTCTGTCTTACACCTGCTGATTTATGGAAAATCCGCTAGTGTAGACAAGAAGCACACCATGTCCAGTCCTCATGGAGGAACAGCAAAGCAGTTTGTGGAGTGATAACATACAGCAACGGGGGCCATTGTGACTGATGGGAGTGGACTTTTAGGGGGATGGAGAGGGATTATGTGGTCGCAAAGAGGTGATTATCCTGCGCCTTGAGAGAGGAATGTAGATGAAACTTTTCGCTTGCTGTGGAGTCTCACTGTGATCGTATACGGTTGGCGGTGCGTGTGACTAGACTTATTCAGGAAATAGCCAGGGCTTGAAATGGGTATAGGGTCAGACGGCATCAGCTGACTTTGCTGACTGAGCCTCGCTTGCCTCGCGAAAAGACCAGGCTAACGTGCTAGTGCCGCACGGACCAATTTCACCAAGTATATATAGCCCAGCAACCCCCCATCCTTTTAGACTTTTTTTTTCTTTTCTTTTCCAGCTCTCTTTGCCTTTTGGCTTAGATCAAGTGTAGTATCTGTTCTTTTCAGTTTAATCTCTGAAAGTGTTCTAAGGAACACAACATTGATTAATCTCATTTTTGGATCCAGTGGTGAGACCTCTGTGCTTGCGCATGTCTCGCCACACAGTGTCATCGGGCTTACACTACCCCCGATTGACGCGAACTACTTTTTTTCATCAATCTGGCCGGCTTGTCCGACCGTTTGGAGAAGAAAATATGTTTTTTGAGGTATTCGGAATTGGACGTGGACAGCTGGTTGGGGCTTGTATGATATCACATGTAATCTGTAGAGAATAAAGAAACCCAGTCCAGTGTTAATTTGCGCGAACATTCGAGAAGCTTTTCTCCTGGTTTCCTCTAGCGTATTAAGGAACATTCAAGCTCAAGCTTCCATTGCTAGCACAGACTCGACTGTCTGAATTGATCTCACGTGACAGCAAAGGCTGGTGATCATCTACAACCACCCATCTGCAATATATTCTCTATTCAGTAGCACATTACAACAATGGGTTCCGTTGTCTTGCCACATCTGCGCTCTGCCTGGCACGTTGATCAGGCTATCCTCTCGGAGGAGGACAGACTTGTGGTATGTGAGCAAATTTCGTTCAGTGGGTTCCTTGACCAATTGACTGACATCAGCCATTGGAAACGTAGGTTATCAGATTTGGTCGGGATCATGACGTTGACTGTAGGATTGCTGCCCCTTTCTCTTTTTCGATGGACAATACACAATACTGATCTCAGACAGGCATGCGTCAAGATGAAGTGCTCTTCAAGATCGCTGAGCGTGTGAAGAGTAAGTTCAGTCTCAGATGTTCTCTTCTCTCAGCCACAGGTGATGGTACTGACATCTGCGATCAGACTTTGCGGTAATCTACCTCTGCGACATTGACGAGGTACCTGAATTCAACTCCATGTATGAACTTTTCGATCCCATGACGATCATGTTCTTCTGGAGGAACAAGCATATGATGTGCGATTTCGGCACTGGTAACAACAACAAGTTGAACTGGGTGCTTGAGGATAAGCAGGAGTTGATCGACATTATCGAAACCATCTATAAGGGTGCTAAGAAAGGGCGCGGTCTCGTCGTGAGTCCTAAAGGTAAGCTTCTATCTTTTGTTGTGGATCTCAGTTAGACCCGTAAATTAACGTCCTTGCAGACTACTCGACTAGATATCGCTACTAGACGCTTTCGTCCGATTGGCTCCGTGTGTGGTCTTGCTCGAAGCGGACCTCATTCTCCTTTGTTTTAGAGGCCTTCAATGGCGCCATGCCCTTCTGGTCTATCTTTCCTTGCTTATGAGATGCGACTACGAATCATGAAATTTACTATGATGCGAGTATCTTGTTCCATTTCGATAATCCGTTTTGTAGGACCGGTTGAGAATACTTACGCTATGCTCATTTCAATCAGTCAAGAACTACAATTACGACATGATAATGTTTGGTCAACGTTACCGGAGCTATTCTGACATATGTTGTACCAGTAGTTCTATATGTTCGTGTGACCACAGGTCCGTTCGCATTAGGATCAACCTTTTACGAAATTTTTTTAAGGTACCAGCCCCTACGAGGAGACCTCTAGTGACGGGATACAGACCCTTTCTACACTTCCCTAATGTCTCTGGTATTCCATGTGGACAAAAAATCAAACAATGTTGGCTATCCCAAGTCGAATCGGACGGCGCATGTGCAGACCGCTGTTGGAGATATCCGTTTTCGCACAGTCGACGTCGATTCCCTACTTTCATAGAGCTAAAGCTAAAGTCCCATAGTGACATCCATAACTTTCTCCTAAACCCATTCGTTATATGGGAAAACTGATTCGCTAAATGAAGTTTGATTCTTTTCACTTGTACGATACCTTGAATGTCATTTTAACAGACAGTATTTTCTTACTAATGGCATGTTCTACACTAAGAAAGCCATCTAATTGGATGCCTTGGTAATTTATATTCTCCCTTTAACAAAAGTTGACATAGACTTGATGTAGATGGATTAGGCTGGCAGCACTGGCATGTACCAGTTGACTGTTTGTCGACCCCGTAGCTTAAATCTTCGCCCCACCGTTTCTTCACCACTTTTCTGTTGACGTAACAATCTACCAGGCAACGCAACAGCTCAATCAACATTGAAGTAGGAGCAACTCGAATTCGAGATACCTACAATATTTCAAAAATGATCGACAACGCGATCTTTGAGAATCTTCAAGCGAAGATTGACGAAGAAACCGCCGTCCGCGATGTAAGGTTCCGAGGAGCTCTGAAGCTCGACATACCAAAGCACAAGTAATGAAGAATAACTAACACCCACGCAGGAACTCCACGAAATTGTCCAATCCCTCTCTAAGAAAGGTTCTCTCCGCAATCTTTACCATCTCTACCATCTGGACCTATGATCCTCCTGATTGAGGCGAGGTCGGAAGCTCCGAGCTCAGCTGACGTACATGATTGCGCACAGGAAGATCCACACAAGCTATACTCTCCCGAGCTCACTCCACGCCATCTGATCAAAGTATGTATCACTGTTCGCAAACACAAATGCTCTGTCAATTGACATTAAACAGTGAAGCCGCTTCTTGAAGATGCGACTAAGGAGATTATCGCTCAAAGAGATGAGGTTGCGCGGCTCAAGACCGTGGCGGACAAGCACCCGTTCTACAAGTACAACGGGGTGTGGACGAGAGAGTTGCAGAATCTTGTTAGTCGCCTTCAGACCCGTTGCTCAGTGAGCATTGCTAAGTTTCGAGACAGGTAACGTCGATCGAGTTATGTGCGTGGCTCGGAGGGCTCGAGGAGTACAAGGGTACCGGCTCGGCTTCGTTCTTGACCATCGAGGAAGTCGGGAAGTTCTTGAATGGTAAGTTGCGCTTCCTAGTCTTTGTTCGTGAGATTAGCTTTGTTCTAACATGGTACATGCTAGTCCCGGTCAATCTGAAAGAGCAAGATGCCTTTCACCTGACCATCGAAGAATATCTCCTTGCACTCATTGGCATGGTTGAGGAATTGGTAGGCATTCTATTTCACTGGCCTTGCGGCGTTAGATATACTGACTCGGGGTCAGTCGCGTCTAGCAGTCAACTCGGTCACTCTCGGTGATTACAACCGCCCTGTGCAGATCGGTAAATTTATCAAGGATCTGTTCGCTGGCTTCCAGCTGCTCAACTTGAAAAATGATATTCTGCGAAAGAGAAGTGATGGGATCAAGTACAGCGTACGTTAATTTTACTCTCTGGTTCCTATTTGTGTGTGCTTTGCTAATGGTCATGTGGCTGTAGGTCAAGAAGGTTGAAGATGTGGTCTATGATCTGTCTTTGCGCAATCTGATTCCCAAGGGAAGTGCTGCGGCTTAGGTACTGCTATGCGAGAGGATAGGTCCAGGGAATGCAAACCCATCGCGCAAGGTAGAAAGCCAGCAGCATTGCATTATAGGCACTGTAGCAGGTATCGTTCGAATTTTAGAAGTGCACCTCTCGTAATGAAGACTCTGCAATAGTCGAATGAAGTTACCGAACCATATCACCTTATTCCTGCTCTGTCCAATGAAGCTGAGAACATCAAACTGAAAGCTCATTCAATACTGGTATCCTAAAACACGAATAATACAATCACAAGTATGGTATCTCTGCTACTAGCCCACAACCATTCCTGCACTCCCAGCAAGACTACGACAACTTAGCCTGCTCGGGAGCCTGGTCGGTAGTCTCTCCCTTTCTTGTCGAAGCGGCAGTCCCCTCCTTCTTCGCCTTCTCAATCTCCTTCAGAATCGTATCTTCCAGCGATTCAGGCTTGGTAATACTAGCCCAGCGCCCAACGACCTTCCCATCAGCGGAAATCAAAAACTTCTCGAAATTCCACTTGACGCGCTTCAGCCCCATAAGTCCAGGCATGGTCTCCTTCATCCAAGTCCACACGGGCGCCGCATTGTCGCCGTTGACATCCAACTTGCCCAGCACGGGGAAGGTGACGCCGTAATTGACCTGGCAGAAGGACTGGATCTCGTCGTTGGAGCCGGGGTCTTGGCTGCCGAATTGGTTGCAGGGGAAGCCCAGAATTGTGAAGTCTTCAGGGTGCTTGGCTTTGATGGACTGGTAGAGGTTCTCAAGGCCTTTGAATTGAGGGGTGAAGCCGCATTTGGAGGCGGTGTTGACGACGAGAACGACTTTGCCGTTGAGGGAGGCGAGGTCGAAGGGTTCGCCCTTCTCTGTGGGAGGGGTTAGGTCAGCAAGACATTCTCATTGTTTTTCGCTTGGGGGGTGAATCGCAAAGGCGGGACATACTGTCGACAGGCTTGAAGTCGTAGAATGTCGTCGCGGAGGCCATTGTGGTTATGAAATATGGTTTGGGATATCGAACAAGGGACGTTCGAGTGTTGGGAAGTCTGTTTATAAGATTTGGTCGCGAAATATATCTCAAGGAGGAACAGCGAAATATAATGGAAGTAGTTGATAGCGACGGCTCTAACACCATTCTAGATCATCAGAGAACCGAGGCAGCTCGGTTGGTGGGCCGTCGCGTTATATATATATAAATGTATGACCGTTGAGACCCTGAGAGGGGCGCCATCGGACGTAAGACCATCCGATGCCGATGGCGATGTCATCGTCCCATTGAAGGATAATTATCAGATTGCGGGTACCAGACAAAAATCGGCGACCAATTCCAAATCATTTACAATTAGTCTTTGAGACGGATATTGCAGTCCCGAATTCTTCTCGCTGACGTTTTGTCATCGCGACGGTTCTAGACATCGGATTATTGATCCCTGCAGAGGCTGGGCCAAGACTATTGCAACGACGGATTATTAATGTCTTGACGATTGACTCGTAGCCATTCATGTCTAAGCCACAAAAATTATTATTACTGTGACCACTGCATAATATATGTAAAGTTGGCTACATGAAGCCATCTTGTGAATTAATGCATGCATATGTCATGAAATTTGAATGTTCGAGGGCACACCCAGTGCTCTTAGGCACTGCCACATTGTCTTTGTGATAGAAATCTGGAAACCTAAATTGACTAATAGATTGTTCGACAACTCGCATATCAGATTTCACAGCTTTCTTGCACGTCACAGAGGAGCCATACAACCAGCAAGAATGCAAGCAAATCACTCTCAACAACTGTCACACGACACTCAACGGTACCGTAGCGTTTTTTGAAGTGCAGGATCGTTGATTGAGCATAGACGCCTTGGGTAACCCGGCAGCATTCGGCCCATGTACAGTACTTCCGTGCATTCTCGCACTTGGTAATCAGTGTCCGATCGGACATCCCTTCTGAACTCTGGCAACTCCAAATGTCCGCGCCATCGCAGGAAAGACGGGCCAGTCCGGTCTATCCCGAGCCAGATCCCAGGAGCAGGATCACAGGAAGCTAACCGGGTCGCCCTGATCGATCATAGCGTGGGCGCTGCACACGTAGTCCCTCACGGCCGACAAATGATCTGGTCTCTCATCACTACTTCATGGGAGTCACGTCTCATTTCTCCTCCTCTGTTTCCTCACTCAAAACATCCACATCCAGCTCCTCCATAACTCCGAGAACCACCCCCAAGCTCTCCATGAAACCGTTAACAGCCACACGAAGCATGCGATTCGTCGTAGCGCGGTACGTCGTCTCAAGGACTGTCTTTGCCGCCTCGTCCTCGTCGGTGGTGGAGTTCTGAATTGGAGATTTCAGGGCAAAACTTCGGCGGACGAAGGGGGATAGTTCGGCATCAACTTCGAGGGCTTGAAGGGCAGAGGAGGCGAGGCGGTTGCTGGGAAGGGGGAGGGATATTGTTCTTTTGGTTTTGGATTTCGTTAGCGGGGTGTCTTCATGGACAGGGACGCTTGAGAGAGGAATTTTACAGCGAATAAGGAAATTCAGGATTGGTTAATTCGTCGGCAGCCATGTTGAAGTCAATAGGATATCGATTTAAACTGGCTATGTGAATATGAAAGGACTACTGTTCGGGATGCTTTTGTATGATTCTTGAATGTTAAAGAGAGCAAGGCGGGGAAGTTTTTGGAGTAGCAGATGAGTCAGCATGTTGACACTCGAGCAACGAGATCTAGCTTTGAAAAGTCATGCAGGCTTTTTTGACAATAAGCTAATGATATGGTGCTCTATGGCCAAAGCCTATCCTACGGCTAATCAAAGATCGCTCTTTTACAGACTTAAACCACACTGGACATAAAGG